AAATCCTAAAAAAAAAAAAAAAAAAAAAGAATATTCTGATGGAGTGAAGAGATTGAGATGAAGTGCCCAGCACATAGTGTGCAATTAGTAACTAGTAGTTGCTGTTATTGTTAAAACTTGGACCTCTTTTGTGCCAGACACTGTGCTGAGCACTGAGACAGAGATGAGGGTACAAAGAAGCACATGGACATAAAAAATGATGATACCAGGTCGTAAGTGATGTTGGCATAAGAACTTCTAGTCAGGGATGTTTGCTTTAATTATGACCTCCCCTTTGGCCCCAGCTTTCTGACTCATATGCCTTCCATTTCTGTACTTAAGGGCTCATGTGATTACACTGGGCCCATTCAGATAGTCCAGGATAATCTCCCATTGTTAAGGTCAGCTAATTAGTAATATTTATTACATCTACAAAGACTCTGTTGCTATGTAACATAACATATTCTCAGGTATATGAGAATATGATATGAGAATATCTAAGGGGCAAATGTCCTGGGGACCAAAATTCTGCCCATCACAAGAGCCTACTACGTGCTAAGCATCATTCTTACTATGTGTCATGGAGTTGATTCCCACTCATAGTGACCTTGCAGGACAGAAGAACTGCCCTATAGGGTTTCCTGTGCTGTAATCTTTACTGGAGCAGGTCGCCAGGCCTTCCCTCCCACAGAACTGCTGTTCTCAGCATTTGGGAAACTTAGGTGGACAAAAGAGAAAAAAATATCCTGCCCTCCTGAATCTTACATTCAACCTATGGGAACAAAAATCCATAATGCTTTTGGTCTCAATACATCCTCCTAGTTTCATTTCTTTTGTTTAGGTGTTAACTGAATTCCTGCCTTTTTTCCCCCTTAACCAGGGAGGCTCAAGAATTTGTGGAGAAGTATGAAGGAGCCTTGGGAAAGGGGAAAGGCAAGAGACTCTACGCCTATAGGATGCTGATGGCCAAGGTGTGTGGTGCCCAGATCCCTGTGGGAGGGCCTGGGCAGCTTCTGAATCTGTGTCGCCAGCACACACCAGCACTGCCTCCTTGGTTTGTGTCTAACAACCCCAACAGGGTGGATTACCCAAAAAGCAAGGCAACCCCTGTCATCAAGTCCATCCCAACTCCTAGCAACCCGTTAGGACAGAGTAGAACTGTTCCCAAGGGTTTGCAAGGCTGTAAATCTTTACAAAAGCAAACTGACTCATCTTGCTCCTGTGGAGTGGCTGGTGAGTTAGAATTGCTGACCTTTGGGTTAGCAGCTGAATGCTTTAACCACTACACCACGAAACCTCCTTTAAGCAAGGTACACACAGGCTTGTCGTACTTACGCATTTGTATTGCATAATTTCACCTGGTTTTCATCAAGTGAAACTATGTGCTACAGATTAGTAACTAACACAATAAAGCCTAAGCATACCGTTCTTAGTGATTAATCTACCTTTGCCCAAGAATCCTGAATTTGAGGCCCAATTGGCCATTCCCATTCATCCAGGAAAGGAAATTAACTCTATTCTTACAATTTTTCTCTACTTACCTGTTAGGACTTCAGTATATCCAAGACTTGTTTCCTCTTCAGTGAATAACTAAACTCACAGCATTAATAATACAATAACCACTGAGATCTTATTTTCCAAACCTCAAATTAGAACAAGTTGCTTGATTTGGTGGAGTCGCTGAAGGCCATAGTATAATCAAGGTCACATGGATGATAAAGAATCTCTGGGTGGTGCTCCGTGGGGTTTCCTTGGCTATGATCTTCATGACAGCCAATGGATAGATCTTTTCTCTTGTGAGGATACTTGGTGGGTTTGTGCCTCCAACCTTTTGTTTGTCTTGTTCTTCCAACCTTTTGGTTAGCAGCCGACCTCTTTGACTCCTTTATATTCTGTCAATCAGTTTGTAGAACATAATTCTTCTCTTTTTTTTTAAATTTGAAAACTGATACCTGTAAAACTTTATACATGAGGAGTTCCGGCAAGATGGCGGACTAGGCACAAGGACTGCACAGACCCTCTTCAACAAAGAAAAGGGAAACCAATTAACACAGACACAGAAGATAATCTTGGACCCCTGAGCCTTGAAGGGAAG